TGGTTCAGGCCCTCGATCGTAGATCGAGTAACGACCCTACGTCCAGTCGGCGTTTGCCTTTGCGTTGGGTTGATTATGAAGTGTTATGTTGTACAATTGTCCCCTTCTTTAGGAGCCCTGCCCTCCTTTATATATTCAGGAGGCCGGAGTCCTAATCGGTTTACAATGAGATTTCCTAGTAGGATTACTTAATAGTTCTATTACTAAGATTACATGGAAAGAATCCTATTTGAACTAGATCTTCTCTCTCTTGCGGGGTATCCTGTGGGTCCCGCATCGACAGAGACACCAACCGGGACTAAAGATATTTCTAGTCCCGGGTGCAAAAAATTCCGGGACTAAAGCCTATTTTAACCGAGAATCAAAGATCTGTTCTCTACTAGTGAAGGCAGCGATCATGATGGAACGGCAGCGAAGTCCATGCAAAGGATTCACGCGCGCTCAGGGCCAACGGCTGCGCTAGACAGTACTGCCTGTCTGCGCTTAGGTAATATGTATATAGGGCGGGAGATGCTAGAGATAGGTGGCAAAATGTGTAGTGGAGACCAACTATTAAGTGAAAACATACAAACCAATTTAAAAAACATACTTTGGTCATTCATTTTTTTTTAAAGTTTGGTGCATCCATAGTGCATACTAATATGCATTCACATACAAAAGCTGAGATGCAAACTTAAACTAGAAACAATCACCCAAAAATAATAAATTTCATACACATGTACACTAAAATATAAAATACCAGAGATTTTGTCTTCTATGGCACATGCATCTGAAATTTGCTATTTTTGTATGAATTTTTCAAAAGCGAGTTTGCATCTCAACTTTTGTATGTAAGTACATATTTGTATGTCCTATGGATGTGCTAATGTCAGATTTTTTGAACAACCACAATAATCTTTTTTATCGATTTTTATTTTTCTCCTAGCAGGTGGTTTGCACTATATATATTTTGCCGAGATAAGTAAATGATAACGGGACAAGGGTAAGTGCGCCTTAAAAGTTCAGTGACGGACTACGTAGGTAAGTAGCCAGAGAGAAGGGAGAAGATGGGGTCACCTTTACTGTCGGTATCGGACAACGGAAAATTCAAAAAAAAATCAAAGAACGTGCATTTCACGTATATTTATATATATAAGAGGAAATTCAAGCGTGGTGACAAGAAAATAAAATGATCCAGTCAGATGAAAATATCGATTGGCTGGTTCATATCGTTGCTGGTTCGTTTATGTAAGAGAGAAATACTGTTAACTGGTTCATATAAACAGTGTCTACATGAGGGGGCTGGCCAGCCCCAGCCGAACACGGATGATCCAGTCAGATGAAAATATCGATAAGATAAGACAATCATACGCACGATGGAACAAGGCAGCGATCATGATGGAACGGCAGCGAAGTCCATGCAAAGGATTCACGCGCGCTCAGGGCCAACGGCTGCGCTAGACAGTACTGCCTGTCTGCCTCCCTCGTTTGAGCGGACCATGCAGATGCGATTTGCCATGGGATGAGCCTCGTTTAATTAGGACTAGGTGGGCTGGCCGGCTGCGCGGCCGGGGACTGATGGCGAGTGGTCGCTCCAAGACGAGGCTCGCACGCCGCCGGCGAGACTCATATAACCATCGGTCGACGGCTGAAGATTCCGACGAGCTGGACTCGCCGTCGCAAGTCAGATCTGCCAAGACGACGTTCAACGGTTTCCATAGGCAAAGCCGTCACCCGTCACATCCTTGGTCCACCTCCAATCCTCCGCGTCTCCCTTGTCTCCGATCCTCCTCGTCTCGTCGACAATAGTGCTGAAAAATTAGGCAGCTTCACAACTTTGGAGAGGATGATGTTTCACTTCTGATATATCCATTTCCTTCCGTTATCAATGACTCTAGCGCCCGGACGTGCGGCGCGAGAGCGCGTCCGGACGCCGGTCCCTTCCCAAAGCCCACCCGCCCCCCACGTGAAATAGAACGGAACCCACTCGCCCCCCGCGTATAGAACGGAATAGAACGGACCCGCCCCTGTCCTCCGCTCCCCACCGCGCCCCTGACCCCTGTTCCCCAATGCACCCCATTCCCCCATCGCACCTCCGTCCCAAAAAGAGCATGAAACACTTCAAGTGCAACATTGTAAAACATATGGAGAAACTATGTAGTGCAACATCGGGATATAAATACTGTAACATCGCAAAAATACGTAGTGCACGTTGAAAAACATGCACTGCAACATCAAAATTGCAACATCGAAAAATATGTACTCCAACATCGAAAAATATGTGCTGCAACATTGAAAATTATGTACTACAACATCGCAAACACGTCTGTTGCAACGACCCAAAAATCCCATTGCAACATGCGAAAGTCATCTGTTGCAACATCCCAAAAAATCCATTGCAACACGGGAGAAACGGCAAAAAAAAGTATACAAAACAGCCCCTGTCCCATCACCTTCAAGCTCACCGAAGGGAAGAGGGAATAGGACCCCAGAGCTCACCGGAACCCTAGCCACCGCCGCGTCCCTCAGATCCGGAGGAGGAGGGCTCAGATCCAGAAAATGACCGACCTACCTCGTCGGAGCCACCGCCGTCGTCCTCGTCTCCGGTGGGGTCGCATGGAGGTCGCGGAGAGAGGGAGGGGCGGCCCGGAGAACGGGGCGTGGCGCGGCAGCGAGTGGGTGCGGAGGATCAAGGAGGGGGGGAGCGGGCGAGCGGAACGAGCAAGTGGGCGCAGGGGGTCGCGGGATGGAATCGCGCTCGGTCGAGTCGTTGCGTGTGCGGGTCTGTCCGGACTGAATGGACACCTGTACAGTATCATTGTACGAATACGGTGCCACAAAACAACGTTCATGAAAATAATCAAAGGTGGGGAGGTGGGAGTATGTCTGAGACTAAGAAAATAGATGTTGTATAAGTATATATGCAATGTTCGGCACGCATAAAACTTGATACCACTTGTGTTCGCCGAACTACTATTGTACTCCCTCCGAAAAAAAAAATGTAATTCTCGTTTTCCGAGAAGTCAATCTGTTTGAACTTTGACCAAAATTATATTAAAAATACTAACATTTCTGATGCAAAATTAGTATTATTAAATTAGTCATAGAATATATTTTTATAATAAATTTGTTTGGAGACATAAATATTAATACTATTTGCTATAAATTCAGTTAAACTTTGAGCTACAATCGGCACGGATCCAACGTCTGGATGGAGGGAGTACGTTGTACGTGGAGATAATTGGGCACCGTTTGGATGTCGAATTTTTTGGCGAAATGCTACTGTAGCATTTCCGTTGTTATTTGACAAATAGTATCCAATCATAGTCTAATTAGGCTTAAAAGATTCGTCTCGTGGATTTTGTCTAAACTGTATAATTATTTTTATTTTTTATTTATATTTAATGTTTCATGCATACGTTTAAAGATTCGATGTGACGAAGAATCTTAAAAAATTTGGCATTTTAGAGTGAACTAAACATGCCCTCGGTTGATTGGAACGCAAAGAGCAGGCGAGGGAGGGGCGCGTTGGGTGTCGGAGGCTGACTAGTCAGACTCGAAGATTCCGGGCTGATCGTCGGGTTCGTTCATCTGCCTGTTGGGCCGCGCTGGCCACCCGACCTCGTCCAGCTTTTGCCGTTGTGCGTTCCCGCGGTCCCGCCATTTTGCCTCAACGGCATGCTTGCATTGCAGCCGCTGAACCTATTTTGTGACAGCCTGGTGACCGTATTGATCGCCCAAGATTTCTGACTAAACAACGCCTGTAACTCTGCAAGTAACCAGAGTATGTCTACCTAACAGCCATATGTTTTATACAATTTTAACACATGAATTTTTTTATACCATAAAATTAAGATCCAACAACCTCTATTCTCCTTTTACCTGCAACCTTCTTCTATCTCCAGACAATCACAAATCACAAAATCATAGATCTATAAATTACAAGAAACAATTTTTTTTATGCAAGCACAGAAGACAAATCAGCCTGCCCGCCGTCGTCACCACTGCCTCCGACAAAGACTGCACCACCACCTACCTCCGCCAAGACTGGGACAGACTGCAACACCACCTGCCGCCGTCATCATCACCCTCGACTAAGGCCTTGTTTAGATTGTAAATTTTTAGAACCTGGACACTATAGCACATTTCGTTTGTATTTAACAAACTTTGTCTGATTATGAAGTAACTAGGCTTAAAAGATCAATCTCGTGATTTACAACCAAACTGTGTAATTAGTTATTTTTTTATCTACATTTAATGTTCCATATATACATCCAAAAATTGATGTGATGAAAAAAGAGTGAAAAAACTTGAAATTTAGAGGTGATCAGGCCTAAGACTGCACCACCACCTGCCGCCGTCATCATCACCCTCGACTGCACCACCGTCGTCTGCTCCGACAAGACACCACGCGCATACCTGACACGACCACGCAGACAAACCGACGACGCAAGATCCAATGGACTAAAATCCATGTGTTTTTTAAGTACTAAAATATACATATGTTGTATAGCATTTCCGAGTAATAATAGGTCGACCAGGACTCTAGGCCGCACCTATGACCGATGGTTTCAAAAGCGTGGAAGATACGATGCAAAGTGCATTGCAATTTGCAAATAGATTGCTGAGCTTTGGACTTGTGGTTTCAAGTTATGCCTAGTTCTACTGCATTTCAGTCTTTTGACAAAACGTCCCTGTCGCGACGAAAGTCCTTAACATTGACAAATGGAACGAACTGTATTACAACAAGAAGCCTATTTTCCTATAATAAAAAAACAAGAAGCCTACAGTGTTCCCAAGCTACAGCTAAAACCGGGCAGCAAATTGATTGGCCTTTTTACATGGAAGGAAAACTGCATTAGTGCACAAGAAAAGAATCACAATACTATCCCAGTACTATCTCACCAATACCGGTACTACCAGTGTGGGTATTATTGTAACAAGACCTTCCGGTTTGCTAGAAGAAATGGTGTCCTCAACAATCAGAATACTATGTGCCTTCCGCATCAGATCTTCCTCACCTGAATGTTGTGTGTTGATTGTGATCTCCAGATGGGCTGGTTACCACTTTGAACGAGTGCAACCTCCTCACCGTCCTTAACCATACCATGTTTCTGTGAAATGCGACATGATATAATGATATCCATCATAGACCCATGGTTCAACAAATGGTATCAAAAAATACATGATACAGATATCTAAGGCCCCATTATTGCTTTATTGTAAATTCATATTGTCTCATTCTACTACCAATAGCTGCAGTATTCTGGTCAGATTGCCAAGATAAAGATGTGGTATGACCGCATCAGATATTCCAGGCCCAAAAATTTTATTTAGAAATCGTTCATGCAGCCAATTGTTATCCACAAGACACAGGGCTGGTGCTCTCAGCGTGCCGGTCCTTTTGTTTGTCGGATATTCAAGGTTAATTCATGCTTGGTTTTATGTTATTATCGTGGTTGGGAAAAAAGGTGCTGCATCTGTTGCTCCAGGCATATTCATCCCCACTTTGTTTACAAATTATCGGTTTGGCTGGCCTCTCTACCCTTGAATGATCATATTTTCAGATGTGACCATGTTGTCATGTTGAACATCAAGGTGCCAAAGCGGCAAAGCCACAGCATACATTGTTAGTCCTAGTTATGACTGTTGCTAAACCAACTTTAAAGGTTACAATGCTAAGTTCAACTGTGAGGCTGTTCTTGACGTTAATATATTATATGGATAGCTGATGCTAATATAACAATTTGATAAAAAATTGAGATCACAGGTATAGCAAATTAAACTTGTCCTTAATCATACATTCAGTAATAATTAAAGTGGTGCCAAAAAAAATGCAAAGGATAGATTGTAGTAGTCGTTACCAGCAAATAAGACAAAGCGTTGCCAAACGTCTTCTCAGCATCATCAGAAAATTCCATTTGAATTGGACATACACCTTGGTACAAAGCCAATCGTTGCCTAACTCTCTCCCTATAATATTACAACAATTATTCGCTAGATATGCAAGGAATTGTAAAAGAAAAATGAACAAAAGGATATGATATGTTTCAGATCAGTTTCCCTTGTCACTGCAACAAGTGTATGTCACTTCTTTTCCTAGGGCATGCTAATAATGGATATTTTACAGATTACTACTGTTGGTAGAGCCTCCAGCCGAGAGGTTGCCACCTGGGTGACCACAGATTATGTGAGTAACTCTGTAAAGGGTTCAGTAGCCCTACCAGCCTGGGCATTCGGTTTTAACCGACAATTCGGTTCGGTTTTTCGGTTCCTAAAAAGTTCGGTTTCCCAAGAGACAGCAGCCGATCGGTTTTCCACAGAACTGGAAACCAACAACTTCGGTGCTGGTTTTGTTACTTTGTTTTTTTTTTGGTTTAAACCATAAAAACCGAATCTGCCATCTACCTTACTCATAGCTCCCTGCTCGCGCTGGCACTCACGCGTGCCGCGGCCGCCACGCCCTGCTTGCGCTCGAGCGGGCCGCCGCCGTCGCGCCCTGCTCCACGCTCGAGCGCCACCGCCACGCCATGCTCCGTGCTCAAGCGGGCCGCTGCCTACTCACTCTCGCCGCCACGTCGGGCACCACTGTCGGGCCACCGCCGCTTGTGGAGATGTCACCGCCACCGCCTCACCTAGACGGGTTAGGGTTAGCATGGTGGTGCGACTGCGGACTGCGAGTCCTGCCGATGCCGAGTGCAGAGTCGAGTTGATGTGGGGTGGGGGTGGCGGTGGGGAGATGAGGCGCGGCCGTTGCTGTGTTGGGCCATGGTTTGCTGTCTGCCTGAGGAGTCAAGTGGCTGGGGACGCTGTGCTGTTTCTGGCTTTTCTGCAGACGTGATTCACTTCGGTCTATACGGTTTTTCGGTTCGGTTTGCATAGAAAACCGTCAAGCCGAGCAATCAATTTGTTAACCCAGAAACCAAACCTGCAACCGAAAAACCGAATAGACCAACAATTCGTTTGGTTCGGTTTGTGGTGTAAAAGTGCCCAGCCTGAGCCCCCTCTTTAAGGCAGAACCAGGGATCTTAACCCTGAGGTCAAGATTTTGGTTGACTATATTTTTTTTAAAAAACATTAATAGTAAACTCTAAGTTCACTGACATCAAATGTTTCCTTCCATGATGAAGCGTTTTGGGCTGTCTTTGTAGTTAATATTTAGTATTCAGTAGAGGGGTTTAACATAGGTAAGTTCCAGGCTTCCATTCCAGCCCACTCACTGATTAATCACGAAAGCCAAAATCTAGAGTTCACTTTCTAGAGCCTATAACTAAAAGAACCCAAAAGGTGCTGAAGTATCTTCAGTGCAGTATTTTGGTTTCTAGATTTTGTATCTTATGCGTGAACCAGAAGTCACATATATGATTTTGGGTGCATGGTCTCATCACTAAAATTACACTAACCAATACATACCTCACACTTTAAAATGATATGGTTGTTCCAAAGGTTACTAACAAACAGTTGTGTTGGACAAGCAGCCTAATTGGCTCATATTTCACAAATTACTAGGAAGCAGAAATGAATTGCTAAGTACCGCATATATTATGTTTAAGTATTTAACACAGTCTCGCCAACAGGGCCATCTTCAGCACAATTAAATAAAAGACGCACTTAGGAGAGATTTTATTGATAAGTCATGATCATGGGATATATAGAAAGGATTGTATAAAAGTTGTCTTGTAGCACCCACTGGCACAAAAGGAACAGAAAACTTACTCATCTGTGAAGGCAAAAATAGTGCCAGATGGACGGTAGTGACTAAGCAGTATAGCCATAAATCCTGTCCTGGTGAAAACCACTATTGATGTTCGAAGGGTATTTGACATCATTGTTGCATGGTATGCGAACATTTCGCTCATGTGGTTCTACAGAAAGAGATGTGGTTAGAAAATGGAAAAGGAAGATCAGCAAGATGGAAAAAGACTGAAGAAGTGAAGGTGGCAAACCTTGAAAGCCTGACCAAGGTCTGCAGGTGTTTCCCCACCAGGAATAGTTGCCTCAGTTCTCAGGGCAACAGTGTGCATGACCTTAACAGCTTTCAAGGGAAATCTGCCACAAAATCAAGTCATAAGCTTAGCATCATGTATCTGCCGTGATCTTCAACATATATCAGGGGGAGGGAAACACACCAGAAGACTTGCAAATATATGCATACAATCCAAAACAAGGCAGCGACTTTTTTTAACTAAAACTACAAAAAGTATTAACCTATATGTTTGCAACAATGTCGTTCTAGCAGCTATTATAAGTATGTTATTCTTTGAATAATTGAGACCAACCAGGCAATCCATTGTTATTTAGTTCAATAAAACTTCATAGGAAACTGAAAGAAATAGATGCCGTATAGATGTTAGATTCCTGATTTGATACACTGAAAATATAGTTAAACAGTAAATTCCGTTTCCATAGAAGGAAACATAAGGGGGCAGCAATTCCATCCATAACATTATTTTTCATGTATTAATTCATATTGTCACTTATGATATATCTGGAACTTTTGAAGAATGCAGTCACCAAATAACAATAATGTAGCAGTGCAAAAGCATACTAAAACAATCTAATTGTCCATGGAACACAAAATATATATATATGATAATAATATATATAAAAATGTAATGTCATATCTGGCCATACATCTCAGCTAGCTCATAGAGATCCACCTCGTCATTTTGCTTACGTGGAAGAGAGAAGAGCTACCTTTTAGTTCACAGCTAGGCTCAGACAAAGTACGAGGCCATTACTGGGGGGCACCTTGAGGTGTGGATGGGGAAAAGAAAGGATGTGATGTGGGACCAGCGGTAAGGTGTTAAGAGTTGGATTATTGGAGAGCTTGTAATGATGTGGCAAGTTATGAGCTGGCTTGCTAGCTCAATTGTTGGAGCCACCCTTAGCTAACAACTAAAACATCAATTTCTTTTGAACAAAAAGCAAAACATGTGACATACTTCCCATGTGCAGTTTCTCCAGAAAGCATGACTGCATCAGCACCCTCTCGGACAGCTATAGCAATGTCTGAAACTTCTGCTCGGGTTGGAGTTGGATGAACAATCATACTTTCCAGCATATTTGTAGCGACAATAACAGCCTTCCCCATGCTCCTGCACATTCTAATAATTTCTACCTGCGTGAAGGAAAATGATATTTGAGGAAGATGTAAATGTCAGACACCTTTATCGGCAAAGAAAAAGATATTTTTTACTGATGGCTCATAGTAAGCACTAGGCACAGCAGATTTCAAATGGGACTGCAACATATAAGCCATATTCCTATGTACAAACAATAAAGTAACTCAAAATAATCCAATAGAATAGGCATATATGTGTATGTTTTGGCTTTGCAGTGCAATAGCATATAAGAAATGATGATCAGCGACATCATACCTGCAACAGCGGCACCTCCTCGATGGGCAGTTCAGCTCCAAGGTCACCCCTGGCAACCATAGCCTATAGTGTTCAATATTAAATTAGTCCGTTCCCCCGAAATGTCAAACAAGCGATAACTGCCAGTGGCAAAATCTAGGTCTGCCCTTAAACTAAGTCAGAACGAGGATAACAGATACTAAAAGGGGTATTCATGATTCATGATTTCCCATACAACTCAAAGACCATTCATGCAAAGATAAACCTTTTGATGGCATTTCACTAGACCAAAGCATAATTAGGATAAGATATTTTTTTACCCCATCAGATGCTGTGATGATTGAATGTAGGTTTGGGATGGAGTCTGCACTTTCGATTTTTACAATTACATGTATGTCGGCATTGCAACCTGAGAAGAGAATAGAATAGAATGAGCTCAATAAATTATCAAAAAGGTGCATGATATGATTTTTTACAAAGTTGGATTGAAGATTACTTCTTAGATAATCCTTGAGTTCATGGACAACTTGAGCATCTTTCACAAAAGAAACAGCATAGTAATCAACCTGATTATCCACACCAAACTTAATCGTCCCAGTCCTTGTCTGTACATTTGAAACATGTATGAAACAAGGACATATAGATTAGATCCAGTAGACAGAGAAAAAAGTAGCTGACTATTACCAGTTATTGATGGCAAGGTTGCACTCTTTCCACGAACATTCAGATGGCGCCTAGATTTTAATTCACCACCGTCAATAACTTCACATTTCACAGAATCTTCAGTTTTTGATTTGACCAAGAATGACATCATTCCTCCTAAAAATTGATAACAACATGAAGAACAATCATTGACCACCAAAGATACATTTGACAAGAGTCAAGACTCAAGACTGAACAGGACGTTAAGACAAATATCTGACATCCAACATAATTGAAGGAGTAACCAGTTATGCACAACAAAGTAAGAAGAAAATTGATGTTCGTGAATTTCATCTCATTAAATTTAGTGCAGTACTGACTACTCACAGTAACGTTGAATATTCATACACATTTAATGAAGAAATTGTGCTATTAAATTTCCAAAAGCTCTAGGGAAGCACCATGTGATGTGTAAGTGAGTAAACTGAAGGATATCATTATGATGAGCAAATCTAGGGAACTTTACTGAAACTGTTGACATAATTTTACAAGTTCAACCATGTAAAACTTAGTACTGGGACTATTTTAGATAAAGTGATTATCAATACTATTTGTGTTGGGTTTCAACTCTAGCCTACCCCAACTTGCTTGGGACTAAAAGGCTTTGTTGTTGTTGTTGTTGTTGTTGTTGTTGATTATTAATACTATTTGTGTATTCAGGTTGCAGAGACAATTGTGAAATCATGTGGCACTCGGCAAAAAGAGAGTTAAAACAGAGAATAACAGAGAAGGAAAAGGTCTATATAACACCCTGATCTATTGTTGTCGGTCTACTTCACCCCCCTAACCTACAAAACCAGGTATTCACCTCATCAAAACCATTCCCTGTAGGTGGTTTTGCCTCTCGGGTACATCAGGGCCCACATGTCATCACTACCATAGTTTTTATGGTAAATAGTGCTCGTGAAAGGCTAAAAGAACAGGGTTATCTTTGTAAAACGACCAGGCTTTTTTTTAGAATTACCCAAGTACATCGCAGACGGTCAACGCAAAACACACTCACCCCATCAGGCTTGGCTGGATTGAATGCATCAAAGAGTTTTAGGGTCATTCATAAAAACACCTACATAAAAACCATAATTACTACACTATTCCATGGGGGTCTATGTGTCAAACGGCCAAGACAGTACTGTAATCGCACCGATGCCCACGAATGGCCAATGGCACTTGATCCTTCGTGGAGGCGCAGCTTTCGGCAATGAACGGCACAAGCAACCCGAGGCGTGGTGGCGGAAAGCCGTGACAAGCGGCTTGCAATGCTGTAGGTGGTGGCACACAGTAGCGCGATAGCAGTGCTGGGCACGAGACGACACTTGCTCCTCGGGTGAGTTAAATCGATGAGGGTGTGTGGTGACCGGTTGGCAGAGGGGCATGAGGAAAGGGATGCCCGAAGGTTGAAGGAAATGCTAACGGGTGGGCACATGCCACAGTGGCTCTTCATGTGGGCCCTAGTTGTGCAGCAAGACAAAAACCTCAATTGAAACCGCCTAGGGGTTAGATTAAGCAGTTCTGGATAGATGACGGGGGGTAGAATACCTAGTTATGTAGGTCGTCAGGGGTTAAAGTAGACCCAAACATTAATAGTTCAGGGGTTATAGAGACCTTTTTTTCCTTACAGAAAATGAATGTAATATCAGCATACCATCTACAAGGAGCATGTCGCCAACTTCAACATCATTAACAAAGTCATCATAGTTAACGCTAACACATGTATCAGTCCCAACTCCCTTTTGATTGTAAAAGTGAATTCTTGCCCGCTTTCCAGAAATATCGGTTGAGGCAAATCTCCACTTGAACTTCTGGTCCCTGAATTGTAAATCAAGGCAATATATGATTAACGAAATGCAAAATAAGAAATGTTTAATTCTATTTATCACTAATATAGTGAATCAAACTGCTAGCACGGCATAATAAAGAACTAAGAATGATGCAGGAAATCAACTTTTTTATTTATTTTTTCTTTTCTTCTTCTTTTTGAGACCATAGGAAAGTAGCCTCTAAGGACGAGAACTATCCCTCTTTTGTGATTTAGTGTAGATACTCTGGAAGAAGTAATACTAACCTTTGTGTCAAGCATGATAGCAATCACATTGTCAGCATGTGATGCATTATACTCCTTCACCAGATCAATAACTTTCTGGTGTGACGATGGTCTCCATGTGACATATTAAGCCGAGCCACATTCATGCCAGCCTCAGCAAGTTTCCATATCATCTCCCTTGTGTTAGTTGAAGGGCCGATTGTACACACAATCTTTGTCTTGCGCCTTACATTTGGTTTAGACCACACACCATTTGCTGCAGTTGCAAGCTGCTGGATAGCCTTAAGGTGCTGGAAGTTTGCTTCTTCCTGTCAAAGAAAAACATATTACTGACAACAGATTTTCAAATTTCAAGTCATATAGGCAGAATTCCAAAGGTACCTCACCACTAATCTATGTAAGATGCACACTCGGAAACACTTCCCATCTTGGCAAAGGTTTCATAACTAACTCAATGATGTTGGTGCCACTTTGGCAAACAGGAAAACAAATGACAAATCCAGTAATTATATAAGTTGCAACAATGTATAAGGACATCGCAAGTTACCAGGGTTGCACTGTAATTAGTATTTTACATTGTGTGGTCTTGAGTCTTGTTACTTAACAAAAACAAACGGTAACAGTTTTAGATGTCAAAAGGTTCAGTAGGGATGCATGCACATGGAATAGAGAAAGCAAATTAGACGCTAAAGTTCAATTGATTTTCATGTGCGTATGTATTGATGCCAAGTGATAATGACATCCCCTGGACGATTCCGTCCTCCAAAATTTGCCGTCACGAGGCCACGAGCACGAAAGCGGTCTCACAAATCCAATTCCACCGTCAGGGAAAGACAATCTCCACGCCCAATCAGCCCGACGGCAACATGAAGCGGTCGAAATCCCGTCCCCGTCCCAAATCCATTCCACCGGGAGCGGGGCTCCCAGGCCAGTGTCCAGCAGCTCGCGGGAGCAGTCAATGAATCAGTACGAGGAGGATGGTCACACTACCTTTACGACCGCGTCGTCGTCGGGCGACACCGGCAGCACCTCGGCCTCGGGGCGCGGGGCGCGGCTTATGACGGATACCACCTGCGACTCGCGGCGTCCCCTCGCCGCCACAGCGCCGCCCCACCTCTCCCTTGGCATCCTCGCCCCGGCACGGGGCACGGCGTTGGCCCCAGATCCGTCGCCCAGCGGCCTGGCCACCGCGGTGCCCGCCGCTGCCACCACCTGCGCCGCCATCCTCGAGCCGGTCGAGAGATTTGGAATTGGAATTGGTAGTGAGGAGGGTGGCGGCTGGCTGGGGGTGGTGAGGCGTGTCGTGCGTGCGTACGCGGTGCCGGGGTGGGTTTAAGGAAGGAGGAGAACCAGGGTGGCTGGCTGGTTGGATGACTGCTGATGCGGCGGCCTTGTTTGTATCGAAATGCAGGTGGCTACCCCGGGGACAGGGGGAGGGGACGAGCCGACCAGGTCGCGGGGCCCGTGCGGCACCAACGGCTGAGCTGGCGGCGTCACTCGTTGTGCTGCAACAGTGCTCAACCTTGGAGTCTCCGTCTCCGCCGTGGCTTTTGTTTTGACTTGGGATTCCGAATATGCAAAATTGGTTCTACAGCACTCAAAGATTTATAGAATCGTGAAATACCATTGAAACTTCTTGGCAACCTAAAATGACACTGAAAGTTCGAACGTTAACCGAATCAAACAGTCCGTTAGAAAATGTTCACAGAAAACGTACTGGATGGGTACCGAAGCACGTGAAATGACCGTTATACCCTTAGAGAGAGAACCTTATCTGGTTCACGATTCACGACTGCTATCTCCTTGAGCGCGTCCGACTTCTCCAGGACCAAGCGCAGCCAGTCCATCTGCTCTACGCCGGCGCCACCGCCGGTCAGCCCCCCGCTGCCGCCACTTGACCCACTGACTTCACTTCCATCGCCGTCTCGAAGTCGTCGCTTCGACATCGGGCCGGGTCGTCGCTTCATCGAGGAGGGGGGGTCGCCGCTTGACGCCGGCCACCGAGGTCGGGCTCGCGCCACGACGCCAGCAATTTCGAGGTCGGGGCTCGCGCCATGACTCAATCGCCGAAGTCCGGGCTCGCATCAGATCCGTGTGATCTTGGCTGGCGTATACGGCTGCCTTTGTCAGGCAAAGACCGAGCCTACCCGCGGTCTTTCAGAGCAGTTGTTCCACTCGTGTTGTTGTGTTCTTCTTCATCAACGCAGAGAGTCTTTGTTCTCTTTCTCTGAGATGCATCGATTTGAGATCCCTTAAGGGTAAGTCTGGAACCCTAGCTCTGCTTGAATGTTCCTCTGTTGCCTCTGGGTCAGTGCTCTATGTTAAATTAGTTTGTTTCTCTAAAAATGTGATCCGTTTGTGGTGTCTGGATGCGGTTGGTCGGTGTTGATCTTGATCCGTGGAAATTGTCGCAGCAAAGGTCTTTATTAATTCTCGTGACCGCTACTCTTTCAAGATCGACGAGAAGAATGGTTGTAAAATTTTCATTGATGTTTGCTCGTTCTCTACTATCGAGGATGATCGATCTATGTACTGTAAAGGCCGACGTTTGGAGTGGTGGGTGGATCTAGAGGAGTACTCCATCATTGAGATGGAGGACGATGTTTCAAAGCATTACAGCTGGGCAAGTTATCAAGAACCAAATTTCTGGTATTCAGATCAGAATGGTCAAACAATGCGGCTTGCTAGTGATAAGGAGCTTCTGACCTTATTGCGGGCATCAAGACAGGTGAAGTTTATTATGACGATTGATAGATGCTCAAGTGTTGGTGCTCTTAATGTGACTCAAAATGAAAACGATCTGGTCAAAGATAGAAGTTGCAGCTAGTTCAGGTGACAGATGAGTTGAATGAGCAACATATTCAAGTGACAGATGAGTTGCAGCTAGTTCAGGTCACATATAGCAAGTTGCAGCTAGTTCAGGTGACAGATGAGTTGAATGAGCAACATATTCAAGTCATAGATGAGGTGATTGAGTCCTCGGCTCAAGCTACACAAGAGGTGCCACAATATAATGGTCAAGAATGGGCTGAAGTACCAGAACTTGGACTTACAGCCGCTGGTCCTGCTAGAGTAGAAGAGGAAGAAAAGGAGCATTACATGGAGCCTGGTGTTGACCACGACGGAGATGAACCAATTAAATGATGAAGAATGGAGGTATTTCAAGAAGGCAAAGGTATGAAGGAGATAAGATTGCAAAAGTCTTTGCAAGAAACAAGAAAGTGGATAAGAAAGGGGAGAAAAAGGAAGGGACAAGAAGCATTTGATCCTCGATGTTGTACCAAGTGATGAAGCCACTATGGCCAATGTCTTGCTTTTGTTGCACACACCACATATGATCGAGATAACCCTGACATAAAGAAAGGATCAACATTTGTTGACAAGAATGCCTTTGTGCTACTTATGAAGCAATTTGCAATCAAAAGGGAGTTTGAGACTTTTGTGGTGCATAGTGACAAGTCAAGGTACAGGGCTAAATGTGTAGATCCAGAGTGCGAATGGAAAGTTCATGCAAAGAAACTCCTTGGATGCCCTACTTTCATGGTGAACAAGTTGTTTTCATATATATTCTTAACTAGTTGTTTTATATAGATTTCAAATTGCTAAGTTCATATAGATTTCAGTTTTCTAACATGCTATTTTTATAACAATTTCATACAGTTTTCAGTATGACATCTAGCTGTTTTATTACAATTTCATATAGATTTCAGTTTTCTAACATGCTATTTTTATAACAATTTCATACAGTTTTTAGTATGATATATAGCTGTTTTTATAACAATTTCATATAATTTTTAGATTGCTAACTTGCTGTTTTCATACTATTTTCATGTTGTTTCAATATCTGAAGGTCATACATGCGCCAGCACAAGCAAAGTGCTAAGTAGAGAGGCAACGAAGGGGTGAATAGCCGACAGAGCAAAAGATATACTAAGGACCAGACCAACAATGGGTCCTAAGAAATTGCAAGAACACCTTGAGGGGCAGTTCCCAGTCAAAATAGCTTATACCAAGGTCTGGGAAGGAAGGCAACGTGCACTAGATGAACTTCATGGCACTTGGCAGGAAAGTTTCAGAATGTTATGGAGCTTCAAAACGTAGTTAGAAGCTACATGCCCAGGAAGTGTAGTAGAGATTGATTGCAAGAAGACTAAAGGTGGCAAGATTCGTTTCTCTAGGATGTTTGTGGCCATCAAAGCATGTGTGGATGGATTTCTTGTGGGATGTAGGCCTTACCTTGGAGTTGACTCCACTCACCTCACAGGCAAGTACAATGGACAGCTAGCTGCAGCAACTGTGGTTGATGGACATAATTGGATGTACCCGGTGGCTTATGGCATTTTTTACAAGGAGACTAAAGCCAATTGGATTTGGTTCATGAAGCAATTGAAGAGGGCAATTGGGATTCCATGTGGATTGACAATCCACACTGATGCTTGCAAGGGTCTAGAGACAGCAGTCCATAAAGTATTTGGAGATGCAGTTGAGCACAGAGAGTGTTTTAGACACCTCATGCATAATTTTAGAAAGAAATACCAAGGAGATGTGTTGAAGTACATGTGGCATTGTGCTTGGGCATGTACTACTAGGAGGCATGAATGGCTTTGGAACAAAATTTCAGAAACCTGTCCAGAAGCAATCCCTTACTTGCAAGACAACCACAAGCATGTTTGGTCACGAGCAAAGTTTTCAGGGGAGTGCAAGGTGGATTATGTCAATAACAACATATCAGAATGCTTCAATAATTGGATCAAGGATTTTAAAGGTCTGCTGGTGGATAATCTCGTGGACATGATTAGAGGTAAGATCATGGAGAAGATAGCAATGAGGCAGCTTATAAGTCAGAAGCTTGAAGGGTCAATCCTTCCTAGTGTTCTCAACAAGCTGAAGGAGAAGAGTAGAAACTTGAATTATATAATCAAGGGCAGTGGTGGACTAAAGGCTGAAGTCTCTGGATTGACTAGGGACAACTTTCCTTGGAGGCATGCAGTGGACCTTGAAGGGAAAACATGCTCATGCAGTCAATGGCAGATCTCTGGGAAACCTTGCACCCATGCTATAGCCTTTATAGGTTCACTAAGGAAAGTGAAACTTGATGACTATGTGCATGATTACTACTCAGTTGAGCGTTTCAAGGCTACTTACCAGTTTTTGGTGAACCCGATGGTTGACAAGTCACAGTGGGGGCCTGCAGCTGATCCTAGGTTTGAGATGTGGCCTCTGAAACTAGAAAGGGCCGCTGGTAGGCCAAGAGTGAAAAGGATCAAGAGTAGAGGTGAACCAGGGAAAAGGGGCCCTTATCAATGCAAAAGATGCTTTCAGTTTGGGCATATTGCGAAGGGCTGCAGGGAGCCTCCTACTGAACTTGGTGATGAATTACCACCTTTAGTTCTTACCAAGTCTGACTCTAGGTAAATTTAAGCTCTTGTCTCTTCGGTCTCACTTTTTCAAATTAACCAATGGCTTCATTACCTTCTTTGTTGTTGACTAGGAAGAGGAAAGGAAGGTGCTACTTTAGACTCCAATAATAATCCTAAAAAATCAAAGAAGGAAGCAGCAACAAACTCAACTGAACTTAGTGATGAATTACCACCATCAGCTCCTACCAAGTCCAAGTCTAGGTACATTTAAGCTCTCTCACTTTAGTTTCAATACCATGTTCATGAGTGTTTTCATCATTTTTTACTACTTATGCCTTCACTGCCTTCGTGTTGTGTAGTAAGAGGAAAGCAAATGATACTATAAAGTCTGCCAATGCTCCTAAAAATCCAAGAAGGAATTTGCAACAACCTCTACTTCCTTAGCCACACTATCACCTGTAAGTCCAGGGCCAACAACAAGACAAATGGCGGCTTCTATTTCCACACCAGCCAGTCCACGGCCTACAACCAGGAGCAAATCACAAGACATATCTCCAGGAGGCATTGCTAGAAGGCTCATCATAAATTAGGCTTGGATTTGTCATGCAAAAAACTATCTATGGCATTGTTATCTGCTAGTCCTGAACTTGTCTTGTGTTGTGTGTACTAAAACTTGTCAACTGTTATGTGTACTGCAAGATGGTTGTGGTGTGCTGGAATTAGTGTTTGTTTATGTTCAAATTCCCTATCAAGACTGTTGTTGAAAGGGATGATGTAATGGCTTGTTATCTTGGATGGTTAATGTGCTGATATAAGTGAAGTAGTCGTTCTCAGCTTACTGAAATGAGATATAACGGTTCAGGG